TCATGTAAGTAATTAACTTAATAACAATTAAATAGAAAAAATGATTAAGCACCCAAAATAAATGAAAACACTTTATATTATTTACTTAAGAATGAAGAATAATATGAGAAAATACTTGATAATAACTTTCGAATTAGATAAACATCGTCACACACACAATTTTAAAATTCTATTACACAAAAAGAAATCGTAGCAAAACCAGTTGTTTTAATTTAAAAATAAAACCTCTGAAACGGTTTTGTGAAAATTTCTATGGAATCGATCTACTAAATACCTATATCCTTTAGATATAGGTAGTTTCAGATAAAAAATTGGTTTATAAATGATGGACTTTTAAGGTAACAAAACATAAAAAGTCAAATAAATACAACAAAATTAAGTCTTTTTTTAAGTCGATTAAAAAACAGCGACATGAATCGTAACAAAACACACTGATAAACGACATAATCTACCGACTACACCGTTTTTAAAAAAACATTCATGCTCACTTTTTTACTTTATTCGAGCAGTAAATACTTTATATTATTCTCAATTTCGTGTATAATATAGTATGTCATATATGTGTAAGTACATTTGTTATGTATATATATTCGTTTATATATGCAATTTTAGTATGTATGTATATCAATAATTACTAGAACCGCATTCGAGAATTCTGACACTTCCCTATGGTTGACTGGGAGAGAATGCTTTTAGCATTAAATCCGCCATGTATACATATAATGTACTAATGAATAAATAAATAAATAATATTCATAGATAACTTATGGGAGTCGTCAGATTTATAAATGGCAGTTTTTTCCAACTTTCACTTGCAATAGACACAAGACTCTTATTCTAACCCGATCACCAACCATAGAGGTCAAGTTATCAAACCGTTAGTCTTAGCTTACTTCAAGAAAGTAGATTTTGTGTTTATATTATATTTATACTAACATTGTACCCAGTTAAACAATTTAAAAATTACATAAACAAATATTGTATTTTATATAAATACCCAGTACTACACCGATTCGTAAAAAATCTGTCAGTCGATTTCTAAAATTCCTTTTTATTAAAAGGGTTTTTAAATTTTATTTTAGAATAGTTTATCAAAGAAGTCGGAAATGTCGAAATATATTTATATCAAAATATTTGCAAAAGTTATCTAGAATATTTAAAAATTAGCAATAAAATCCATATTGTCTATTTCGAAAATTTATGACAACATCAGAAAAAGTGGCTGAACAAATTTTTTTGATTGAATAAATGTAAACCTTAATGTAACATAAAAAAATAATCTTACTGGTTAATTTAAGCAATGGAAAACGAAAAAAAAAAACAAAAATTCTCAGTGTCTATGGTTACTTTTTAGAAAGTAAACCAAAACGTGCTATCGAAAATAGTCTTACGTTTGACAATTGACATACATATTAAAATTGATAAGAGACACGAGTCATGGATCTCAGAAACAACCATTAGCGGTTATCATACTTTAATGATAGTTCACATTAAAAACAAATAATTAAAAATCTAGATTAGTATACATTGTCTAATACATATGAAGTATCTATTAATTTAATGATCTTTGTGGTAGAAAACGTTTAATATAGATACGAGGGTATCTATATTAAAGAATTCATTTATGAAAGATTTTTTTAGTTCCTGTTCTTGTTGAAACGAGATCTTGGGAGACTTTGTACAACAATCATAGAATAAGCAATCCTGTGGGTGTCGTAAGAAACAACTAAGGGATCTCGATGTTGAAGGTATGGACAGTGTCCCTCTTAAAACATCAAGTTTTAAGAGGGAGACTGCTGTCCATACCTCAATAACCTTATATAAAAGCCAAACTGCAATTGCCAACCCGCCTGCCAAGCGTGGCAACTACTGGCAAAATCCTATGATTATACGGGACACCTTGTCAGCAGTGGACAGTTAACGGCTGATACAACATCTGCATGGATACCTCTGTCCGATTTGTGCCAAGAAGCACATGTACTTACATGACTGCGTTTATGGTAGGAAGGGTGGAATGTGGCAATAATTTTACAGGTAAAGCTGGCATAACACCATACTCATTCCTGAGGAATATGGTGTTATGCCGGCTATGGTGTTATGGATGACATCCCAGGTTATTTGATTAGAATTATTTTGTTTAATTTCGCTACCATTATATTGATGTCTAATATGGAAGGGTGTTGAATCTCTGGTAGTAATAGTGGTGGTCAATCATCGAGTGTTGGCAGCCACACATATACTAACAGTAGCGGAATTAAACATAAATAATTGTAATTAAATAACCAGAGTGGTTACCCTCTAATGCCATAGATAATATTAAATCATAGAGTACAGCTAGTTTAGCAAAACTATTATGTTATGGACCATCGAGAAATATCGTAAAAATATAAAGTAGTTCTAACGCAATTTCAGTAAAAAATTTAGTTTATACTGATCTTTAGAATAATCATTTCGTTGTAATATCAAATTAATATTGTTATTTTTGAGACAGAAAATGATGCTTCGGTGTCAACTCCAATATGTGTCTGGTCCACGCGATTTATCTATAATAAGTGTTACAGTACAATTTAAATTCGTTATTTTAGTTCAAAATTTAAACACCTGAATAAATAAACATTTATGTACGAGAGCAATTAACCTCTTTGTTTCATTCCAATCCGACTTACTAAAGCATAGATTAAGAATAGTGTCTTTGTATATATAGTTTTCGACGTAAAAGTTCTATGCTACAAATATGGGCTAACTGACCTGCCTTTTCATTCTCACCTATCATTCTTCACTGGTGCCCCGCCAGCGTATACCGTTAGCGCAGGCGGCGTTACCATTCCATTATCGTCCATTACAAAAAAAATTATGCTCTGCCAAAAAAAGTTACTTTAAATGCGAATTCATACGTTCGATAAATGTCTTCTATTGAAAATATTTTAATTTAGAACGTGGTGATTAGATTCCCTTGTGTACAAGTAATTTTTGGTTAACAATTAGCAGTTTTGCTCCGCAAAGAAAAACGGCAGCTTCAGTCACCACAAATTTAACATATGTCTAACACAACAGTATAGATTATAAAAAGAATTGTGAAAATCGGTTTAGAATAGAAAACCTCCTTCTTTCTAAAATCACGGTAAATATTTTTGATTCAGTAACTTCAATAACATATATATATATATATATATATATATATATATATATATATATATATATATATATAATGTAATTGTATGGAGACGATTCTATTTTTTACGACGTTATCGCGGACGTGAACGGAAATTAAAGAGCGTCTGCTTACAATTGCATAATTTTTTTTTTCTCTTATTATATCGTGCCGGTAAATTGTACATTACTGTGGAGCGCCACGATAAATTATTAAAACCCTTAAGGTATTGATGTCTTCTTAGACATGTTTCTTGAATATTTCGCTTTTTCTTTCTGATTAGACGCAATTTCTGTGAAGACATCTTGACCTGTATAAGAAACTGAAATTAGAGGAGAGGTCAAGATGTGTGGGGAATTGGGACTAATAATTGAGGGGAGGAAACATGTCTAAGGATTGTTTTAATAATTTATGGGGATCAAAATGTACAATTTATTGCTAGATATAATACATTGTAATCAGACGCTCTTTAATTTCCGTTCCGTCCGCGATAACGTCGTAAAAAATGGAAACCATCTTACATTATATATATATATATATATATATATATATATATATATATATTCGTCACATATACATTATTTCGAGAACTATATATAAAAATTTATCCTACTACAATTATTATATTCGATTGTCATCTTGCAACCCTATTGCGGCATATAAAAATCGCGATTAAAAAACAGGAATAGATCGCAAAAGCGTGAAAATTCGAATTTGTATGTACAGCTTCTATCATGACAAAATGTGAAACTTACACAAGAAATAAGAATAAACTGTATGCATTACTAAAAGGTTAAAGGTATAGAAATCTCACACTTAAAAAATTTTTAAATACGTGACTAATTATTTTTGTTCATTATGTTATTTGAGAATAACTGTATTGATTTATTTATTTATGCCTTTGTACATACAGTTTTAATATAGAAATTAGATTATAACCAAAATGTACACTAGCGGACTTATCCCTTAAAGGGATTTCTTCCAGTCATTCTTAAGAACTCGAAAGAATAAAGTATCTACAGAGTTAATTGATGATCGATGAAAATTAAAATATATATTAAATTATTTTTTCAGTTAATATACCAATGTGTATTAACTGAGCAAATAATTTAATTTATTTATAATCTTTTTTTATTTTCATAATGCTATTAATTTCTTGTTTACTTTGCTCAGAATTCATCTGCATATATTTTGTCTCATTCGCGTTTCTAGCGACAAGCAACTACTTCGATTTAGATTTGAAGTGTAACACCTAGAAGGATCAATGAAATATGTATAGATAGGTCAATGAAATTGCGAGGTACGAAAGCATAACAAATAATTATGGAATTACAACCTATGAAGGATATCAACATGGATATCACAGTTTATACTGTGATACCATACCATAGACATCATCATTATAAGTTGTATAAAAAATATTGCATTGCCAGTAAGTTAGTTACTTGTTTAGGCAAATAGTTTTTACGTCATTTTGTCATTTCTGTGCATTTAAAATTATAGACTCACAAAATACAAAATTCGACAAATAAACACAGAAACAATGTAGAAAAGATTTTGTACATAGTTAATTCTATTTCCGAACGTAACACGATGAAATGTAATAAATTAAATATAGATATTATTGTTCTGTAATCGTTCACGATAAGTCCTAAAAATAAATTTTGAACTATTGCTGAAATTAAATTAACTACAACAATTTTTATTTTATTCTTTAAGATACAAATTAAAAAAAAATCTAAATCCTATTTAGGTATTATGTTATTATAATAATTTGACAAGAAATACGTACTACATTTTCAAATAATAATAAACTACAAATAAATTAAAAAAAAAAACAAGTACTCACTCAAAATTGCTATAATAATTTGATTTATTTTACTCCCCTCAGAACAATATTTTTTCACAGTGTACTTCAACATTTTTGTTTCTTAAAAAAAAAAAGAGTGAAGACAAATTTAAAAAAAATAAACGCACGCGACGTACCGCGCTCGCACCGTGCGAAGTCTCGACCCGCGTACGACGAATATGAGACTTTGTACAAGTTAGTGCGTACCATTCTCCATACTGTACTAGGTTATAAGTACGTATAACTAACGCACATACAGTTCGATAAGCGAATTAATTGTTTTATAATATTGTACAAAATATATTTAGCTAATACACACATGTGGAAATGATGTATTGGTACTTATAGAAATTTAAAAATACGCAACAAATAATTTCTCATACGAATTTTATTTTGAACGTGACTGTTGAAATTTTTTGATAATATATTTTACATTTTAGTGAATACAATCAAATACTGTTTTTCCGATGACCATTATGTCTTTTAAAGATAACAGTAGGCATATCTTATTTGTCTGTCAGTAGATATAAATTATTTATTATTATAAATCGCACCGTATAGATCTATTCTTTTGAGGATTATTTTCGACCAAATCTTTCGTTTTAAAAAAATAGGAAGCAGCGTGTACAAATCGCTAACATTAATTAAACTTGTTATCTAACTAAAAATTAACGGGGAAAAATTTTAATTATACATCCTTTTCAGAGATCTCTATAAATTATTGATGCCCATTAATTCCTCTCTTTTCGTGATTAGGCAAAGTGGATAAAACCTTATCTGTTCTGAAATCAGTTCAGGATATGATAGGGTTGATATAGCTAAGGAAGGCAAAGACCCTTAAAATAAAAAAAAAGAAAGTTCTGAAATATTTCAATGAAATACAATTTCTTCCTGTAATACATATACATAATAAAATACACTATACACACTCGTTATAATACCTAATTTTAAACTAAGGTATAAAATATTATGATAATATTTAAATATAGATATAAGCACAAATTTAAATTATAAGTGAATTATAAAAAAAAATATTTCATAAATTAAAAAAGTTGTTTTAAGATCCAATTTCTGTGACTACACTTATGTATACAATCAGAAAAAATCTACAATGTAAAAAATACTGTATTCAGAATTACTCATAAATCAAATACTTTTCGAATCGAAGATTCGAAACAAAAATAACCAAGAGTGTCAGCTTTAAATCAAGTGCTTATTAGTCAACAGAGATCACTTTTTAATTTATTGAAGTACTTTTGAAAGTTTCTCTTAAGTTGCCTACATACAGAAATACAGACATAATAGGTACTTAATAAATTGAAGAATATTAAAAAAAATCTTTGAGCTTTTCCCGCCATATTAAGTTTTCATTTTAGTTAATAGGCTCTGTTACATAAGTACACTTTAGAGATTTACCTACGTACATGGTCGTAGCGGGGCTGGGGGGGGGGTGAGGGCAATTGAGGGGCAATGCCCTACCTTAAAAGAAATACCTCAATGCCTTAAAATGAAAGGCCCCAAGAAAATTAGACAGATTCGCTTTTCCGAAGTCAATTATGGCTTTGGCCCTACCAAAAAGTTCTTTTGGCCTACCTTAAGCTTAGATTTGACTACCTACCTACCTACGTAACATGATCCTGTCTGCCTACCCTAGCTTAAATTGAAGATGCTGATAAGTAAATTGTTAAGTAACTACTTATTTTAATATAAAACTGTTTCCTTTTATGTAAATAAATACCAATTTAAAACACAATAAGAACATCAAATTTAAATAGTATTTGTGACAAAATTAGAAGAAAAAACCAAAGCTTATAAAATTAAAAAGTCTATGGTCAAAGCTATGGTCAAACCTATATAGTGAAGGTACCGTTTCTTTGAACCTCATCAAGACTTGTCTGAGGTATAGAGTTACTGGTAGCGTCCACCATAATTTATTACAACATATAGGGTTGCCTATCATAAGAAGTTAGTATATTTAATAATTATTTGAAACTATATTAAAATTAAATTATCGTATTAATCGTTAACTGTCCACTGCTGATCATAGACCTCCCCCTATAGGAGAGGTTTTGCTAGTAATTGCCACGTTTGGCAAGCGAGTTAGCAACCGCAATTAGGTTTTTTTTAATAGGTGATAATAGAATGATAATCTATCCTGCGCTATCTGTACACACTGGCGGGGCACCAGTGAGGGATGATAGATGACAATGAAAGCAGGTGAGTTAGTCCATCGTTACGAATTTCACTAGAATTAACCACGACAGTTTCCAGGAGGAATAGCGTGAAGGTCGACCTGATGGAGTGTATTGCTAGCTCAGTTACACCCCATTATTAACAATCTCTTTTCCCTCTCCCCCGCAGTTAGGTTTTGGTCGAATGCTATTACCCATTCCTCTACCATAAAGGTTCCCTTAGTCGCCTCTTACGATACCTACGGGAAAGAAAGAGTTACGCCATTCTGTGCCGAAACCACATGGCGAAAATAAAATATTAAACAAATACTCCTTGTTTTAGAAACAAATCTATTGAAATCTCTCATCTTAATTGTCACATTTATTTATTTAAGAACTATCAACAAAGCATACATTTATATCTACGTAAAATACATGATAATAAGGTTACATTATAAAATGCTGCCTCAATTAAAGGCCGCCACGACATGCGGCATACTGTCAATTACATCAAGTAATAAAATTAATTTAAGAAATAAAATAAAGTAATAAAACTAATATAAAAAAATTGTAACTAGATGATTTAGGATATATTTATAAAAAATTAATACAAGCGAGCTTAATAATAGCAATAGAAATTAAAACATTTTATTATTATTATTTTAACTATTGCACCAAATTAGTTGTGGTTTTTACAGTTGTATAACTTAAAATCGAGTGTACATATTATATTTTATATTAATACACCATACTAGAAGTTATTACCTACTTCCAATAACCACATATCACAAATTGCGGATAAAAATTAGCGTACAATAAACTTAGTTGTTCCAATCAATGTAACCCATGTACAACCCTATTTAAGATGCCCAGGCTGTTTCTCGTGGCACTCTGCACGCGAGACTTTTTCATTTTTAGTTATTTATAGCCTAATGCTTTATACACACGGATATTATATTAACATGTACGAATAAGTAGGTAATATGAGATTGTGAATTTATATGTAACTTCAATACATTTTGTTCATTAAAAAAAAAAGGGACCTCAATCATGCAATGTTCCTCGTTATGTGATTGAAATCCTATTGAAATTAACGTAATATTTCCTAGTCATTAAATTGAAAGTATTTGAAACTAGATTTTAACCGCGACTCAGTTTTCAGTTTGCGTGATTGGGATATGTGAACGAATTAAATAGTAGAATCAGTCCTTCTTCATTTCATATAATAAATAAACCTATGTAATAATAAATTTCACAGTGATTGGTTAAGTCGATAAGGTGCTGTGAACGACAAACAAACCAGCATTTATAATATTAGTAATAATTTTAATATTACTAAATAAATAAGGATCCTGTAAGGACGTTTTTTTTTGTGTAGCAACACGCAGTTATTTGCTCCACAAAGCAAACAGATAGTTTCAATAGTTATATTAAGTTCAATATTAATATAGCCCCAACATGGTTATAAACATTGGCAATTGCAAAAAATTTTTTTTATACAAACAACAACAATACATTTAACAATAAATTATACAAAACACACATGGTCATAAACTTTGCCAATTGCAAAAAGAATTATTAAAATCGAATCATAATAAAGTAAAGTAATGGCGTAACACAGCCACTTATATTTCAAACAATATTACATATAGTAATTAATACAACAAAAACCTTCTCGGAGGAAAATTATTATTGGTCATTTTTACCAATGATCCCATTGCCAACAATAACCTAACAGCGTGACCTCCATGCGATTTTTTTTTAATGGATGATAATGGAATGGTTACCCCGCCTGTGCTGTCGGTATACACTGGCGGGGCACCAGTAGGGGATGATTGATGAGGATGATCGTGACGAATTCAACGATAAATTATTCACGATAGTTTCCAGAGGGAACCGCATGGAAGTCATCCTGATAGAGTATATTGATATTAACAGGGACTAATCTCCTCATTACTAAAAATCCCTTCCCCCAAAGATCTCCTTGCGGTTAGCAACCCTAGGGAAAAAGGTATAGTTAGTATTGGGGATCTAACGACCTCATTGCTAGCAATGTATCCTATCAGATCAACCTCCACGCGGTTCCCCCTGGAAACCATCTTGATTAATTATTTATGAATTCGTCACTAGGGGCCAACTGACCTGTTTCATTCTCACCTATCATCTCTCACTGGTGCCCCGTCAGTGAATACCGATAACGCAGGCGAGGTTACCATTCCATTATCAACCATTTAAAATAAAATTCTAGCGACGCTCGTGATTATTTTCTAGTAAAATTATCACAATGTACCAATTGACCTGTCTTCATTCTCATCCATTATCCTTCACTGATACTCCGCCATCATAAAAATCATGTGTTAAAAGAGGCTACCATTCCATTTACATTCTCTAAAAACACCAACCTTTCTTTAACAGTCGAGTAAAAACTAAAATTACAATAATGCACCATGTTTGTATGTATGACGCAATGCAACATAACAGTATCTCCGTGTATGCAGTGTTTATAGATGTATAGTTTTTAAAGGTAATTCATTAATACTTAATCTATAAATAGCTACCGATACCTTGTGAGTCGTTGACTTTCATGATTCACGGTAACTGAGGGAGTCGTCGAGTTAATAACTGGTAGAAATGGCAAACAGACAGGTGACAGGAAAACCGACAGACATTTTTTTTTAAATGTAGAAAGTATTATGGACTTCACAGAGTATACTATATGTTAATAGCCATGCTATTCTAGAAGACAAAGACGCGTCATGCTAGCATATGCAAAGACTGTCGCTTTCATATAGCACAGTACAAATTTAACAACATTCAGATCCAGAATTAGAGACGTAATCGCCTAAGATAATTACAGAAAAAAAAACAAACGATTTGAGAACCTTTTCTTTTTGGAGGATTTGAAGGTTACAAATACCAACATGTCTTGTGTCTTGAAAGGAGCTCGTTTGAACCGGAGGCGTCGGGGTTCAAGTGACACACCGAGAATCCAAACAAACACTAAGGTCTAAAAGGAATATTGAAG